ATGCTTTGATTCACAAATTCCACATAGCAATTTTATAAATGTGTAATGCATGAATGTGTGTATATATATATTGACAATTATATGAACATATACAATATATATCGGAAGGAAAATATAAATATTGGGGGTTCATGCATTATGGGGAATGTTTTCATGCTTCATAGTCATTTCAAATATCTTAATTTATTTTAGAAGAACCTAATTGGCAGCAAACAACTAAACCTTTGAATTTGTAGAAGATCCTTCTCTAAAAGCCAGAATTGCATCTCCAATGCATTGTATCATGTTCAACAAAGAAAAATTAAATTGAATCAATAGCATGTAGATTAATTCAATAAAATCATAAAACGAATTATTAAAACGTAATACTCCCTTGATTGAAGATCAAACTCTCTTTAGCGCATCGTCAAAAGCGTGCTAATAACATGTTGTAGACCTAATTTACTGAATCATATAAAGGACAGAGAGAGGGGGTGCGACAACATTAGAGAGAAAGAGAGAGATGTGTAATTGCGAGGTGTATTATATTCCACCCCATTGTGCCTTTATTTATAGTAGTAGGAAAGGTTAATTCTTTACCCTTTTAGAATTACAACTCTAATAAGATAATATATAGTCTAAGAGATATGGTAGAATCTCATCAGGATATCCTAGATACGTTAGGATCTACACAATCACATTGCTAATCTAATAGGACTGCAATGCCTAGAACTTTATTTAATGAAAATGACTTAAACTTTAATGAAAAAGAACTTAAATTTTAATGGAATGGACAAAAGTTTAATATAATAAAAATTAAAGAAATAAAAAATAAAAGCTTATGTACAGGACCTCCCGCGTCCATTACACACACTATTTTTGAAACTGATCAGTACTATACTATTTCTGAAATTGAAGGGTACTACACTATTTCTGAAACTGAACGATCTTACAATATTTTTTGAAACTGAATATTATTTCTTAAAACTGAATACTAATTCTGAAAACTGAACAATAATTATTTCTGAAACTAAACACGAGTAGTATACTATTTCTGAAACCGAACATGAATACTATTTTGAAACTAATTATATCCACCCACGAATATGAGCCCATATTCGCACCCTCACTCATGTCCTTCAGTTTTTGAACAATCTCAAGTCTTCAATCGATTATGTTCTTAAAGAATCAAGAGAAATTTATTATCAGTAAATAAAATAGACATTATGCAACCCATGCAATTAATTTGTAAAGAAAATAATCGATTTGCAGGATGTACAAATTATTATTCAAATTGAAAACCATTTGAATATCTGAGATGTCGCTCCTTGCATCTTTGTCGGTACAACCACCTACAAGGACGGTTGAACTACAAATGCTGAATGCATTACCCTAGGTTGGCCTTGTTTTTGGCTGGAAAGTGATTATTTTAATGTTATTTCTGCTCTCCAATCGATCATTTTGATCCTTATTGGCCTATTCGTAAGCAATGGACTATTTGTTTGGACTGCATTCGGAACAAGGCTTTCTATGCCTCTCACATATATATTGAAGGAAATGTGATTGCGAACAATTTTGCTAATATGGGCTTGTCTTCTCCAACTTTGGTATGGCTTAATTCCACTCCAATTGCGGGTCGTGCTGCTTTATTTTCAGACTATATTGGTTTTCCTGGCTTCCACTTTTCAAATTAATGTGCATCTCGGCATACAGGTTTGTCTTACTTTCTTGATTTTTTTCCTTAACCTTGTGATGTTGTTATGTTTTGTAGGATTAGACCTTTAGGTTCGGTTTTAGAGGGGTTAGGTTTCATGTCCCCCTCCTTTTCTCTTTATCTTAGTTGATTTTGTTTCTAGAAGGATAAGATTTATATCCCTCCTAACTAGGTGTACCCTTTTTGTATATCAATAAAATTATCCTCGTACCATTGAGGTTTTCTTAAAAAAAAAAAAATAAATAAATAAAAATAAAAACTCCAAATCTCCATCAACCACAGCTCTCAATTAGGTCACATAAATAGCTTTTGATCATTTTTGTTTTAGAATTTTTGTTTTTCGTTTTGTTAAATACAATTTACATTTGAACAATCTAGCAGTCGAAGCAACAAGGGTTTAGTTAAATCCCATTCATATCTCACCAAACCTTCGAACCCAGACAAAGAGGTGGCCTCACATAACCACCGAGGTGGGAAGAAGGTCGGTAAAACACAAAAAAGGATTTTGTTTTTCACGCGCTTTGATTGGATTTTCTTTTTATGTCTTTTTTATTTATATTTTATTCTTTTTTTCTTATCTTTATCATTAAATAAAAGTTATAAGATGATTTTTTTGTTAAAATTTAAAGTTTTGAAACTCTTGTAATTAGTTTTTCTTTAAAAATATGGACTAAAAAATAAATAATAAATGGATACAAACTAAAACTAAAAAGAAAATTAGTAGTACGGGATTTATGATCTCCTAAAAAACGTGTGTTGAAGGTGACTCGAAGCTGGTAGTCGATCCTATAAGAGCAACTCCACCCATGGAGCCCTCCCCCCTAGCAATCCACTATTCAATCCACCCTATTGAACAGTAACTACCTTAAATGAATAGTAATTACCATTAATGAACAGTAATTGTCATTTACATCTCCACCCTTGGAACCCTCCCCCTGGCAATAAGCAATAAAAATAATAGTTTTTTATGTTTGTTTAAATAATAAAAAATTACAAAAGCTATCTCTCTCTCTGACACAAAAAAAATAAAAAATTACAAAACCCTCAGGCCACAGGCCCGTCGACTCCCCACCCCCCCTTCGCTCGACCTCCCACCCTCACTCGGGCCCTTCCCCGCTGGATTTGCTCCCACCGGCCCGAGGGCCCTTTCTCCTTGCCTGACGCCCGAGCAACCAGCAAGGCTGGAGTTGCTCTAAAGGAGTTTGTCTTACCCCTTGGCGTCAGAGGATCATTTTAGAAGATACAAATGGTTGGCTTCGGCTTTTGATGTGATCACTTGAAACCATGTCTACACGGAAGCGAATTTTATAGCAAATGCTATTACTAGTACGGGATTTGTGTATCATAACTGTCACGCCGGACAGAACCTTGCCGCCTATGGCAAGATAGACTTTACTGTATTGGTACTCATTGTAATAAGGGTGACTCTAGAATCAAAGACCCGATCACAAATTAAAAAGAAATAAAGCTTCAATTAATGAAATAAAACAATTAAAAATGAGAACCTAATTTTTGCATATTAACATTTATTGATAATCTAAAAACAGAAACAACATAAAATACAAGCATCGATCACAAATTAAGAACATAAGGGGAGGACAGAAAACCGCTCAAGTTCCGGAAGGTCCGGGGGTCGGGGGCTTCTTCTTGGACACCGGGAAGTGGGTTGAAGATTCTTGTTCATGGGTTTTAGGTGGAGGGTTTTTGGAGCTTTCAGCGGTGGCAGTTGCAGCTGCAGAAAGATTAGTAGAAATGGTGTCATGCAGTTCTCCGGCTATCAGCTCCGGCTGGAGGATCTGTGATGCCTGCCGCCGGTGACGAGGATCACGGAACATTAATTATTGGGTTGTTTCCTGAGAGAGAGAGAGAGAGAGAGAGAGAGAGAGAGAGGCAGTGGGGAGGCTTTTGTTGTGGAGGTGATAAGATGAGACTGGTGAGGGGATTAAGAATGAGAACCTAATTTCTGTACATTAATATTTATTGATAGTCTAAAAACAGAAACAACATAAAATACAAGCATCGATCACAAATTAAGAACAGCAAAGAAAAGAAAAGGAAGAAAGGCAAAATGCATTGAAACAACAGCAGGGGGGGGGGGCAGAAAACCGTTCAAGTTCCGGAAGGTCGGGGGATCGGGGGCTTCTTCTTGGGCGCCGGGGAGTGGGTTGAAGATTCTTGTTCATGCGTTTTAGTTGGAGGGTTTTTGGAGCTTTCAGCAGTGGTAGATGCAGCTGCAGAAACACTAGTAGATATGGTGTCATGCCCCAAGTCATGCAGTTCTCCGGCTATCAGCTCCGGCGGTAGGACCTGTGAGGCCTGCCGCCGGTGACGAGAATCACGGGACATTAATAATTGGGTTATTTTCCTGAGAAAGAGAATTGGGTTATTTTCCTGAGAAAGAGAGAGAAGAGAGAGAGGGAGCTGGGGAGGCTTTTGTTGTGGAAGTGATGAGATGATAATGGTGAAGGGAAAAGTGGGTTATATGAAGGGAAAAAGAGGGGGGGGGGGGGTCTGGCTGGCGTGGAAGGAGTGATCTCATTCTGCCGTTCACGTGGCTGAGCACTCCAAATTACTCAGCCCTACTTTTCTTGAGTGGTCAAACTTTAACTTGTATAAAGTAATTCTAATCACTAACCATGCATGGGGGCAATCAAGTTAATCGTTTTTGGGCTCCTCACTACCCCCCAATCTCTCGTCGTCTTGATTTCTTAACTTTGACAACAAACGTTACAATTAACTCTCCATTTGGTGTGTGGTAAAAACGTATTTGAGAATGACAAATTCTAACGTTTTGTTGTTTGGTAGAGTAAATGTGAGAAATGATTTTGCTCACCATTCTCAACTGATGGTGATGCTCACCATCATATTTGTCGTTGTTGGATGAGTTCGAATTTCGAGATCTGTTTAATGGATAAACACAAAACTCAAAATTTAAACTCACGTAATAGATTGTTAGTAAGTAAGGTGGTGAGCAGTGGCAAAGCCACATAGAGGCCAATTGTTAGGATTTGTTCCTGATTTTACGATATTTTATTACTTAAAGAGTGAACTGACCAAAATACCCATGTAGGCGAGAATGTTAACTTTTGTTGATTATCATATCGTGACTCATATGAACCATTTTTTTATCGTATTTTTTTAGTACTCGACGTTACGAACGCTTGAGCGCAAACAAAATCGAAATTGGAATTACGATGGAGATTGGTATTGTACTACGAAGCGAATGGAAATTTAATAAATTCACTATCCTACATATTTTCTTTCTTATTATTACATTGTTTTCATTTACAGATTTGTGTAGTGGGACCCACACTCAAACTCTCCCCTTCTGCCGCATGTCCCTCTCTCTACACTCTCGGACTCTTTTGGACTCTCTTTCCCTGAGCTCCCTCTCGCCTCTCTTTGTGTAAATGCAAAGCAACCACGCCACCAGCACACTCGCCATACCGGCGAACTCTGTCATCATCTAAACACCATACAGCCACCCCTTTTTCTCTCCTTCAAGTTTGTTTCTCTCCCTTTCTCGACTTTTTCTTTTTTCGATCCACCAGAAGACACTAACGGTGGTTTCACCGTCGTTTTCGGAGCCAGACCACCAACCTGCACCACCTCGTCCCTCTCCTCAATTTAAACTAGAAAAGCATGAACGAGGCTTCAACCTCGAAGCCATACTGTGGAAACTCGAGCCCAATTCCGAGATTCGATTTTTCGGCAAACTTCTCGATTTTTCGACTAAGGTAAGGTTTGGGAATGCTTAAATTCGCTTTTTATTGACTTCTTGGTGTAATTTATGAGTTCCCTATGTGATTTAACGAAGATTGAATACAAAGATACCTCAGGGAAACACTCCCCAGTTTTCCGATGGTGGACCCGCGAATTTCAGGTGGTTTTCAGGCCATTTTTCAGCCATGGCTTGGCCTATAAAGGTATAATTATTTTCCTTGTTCTCTGCGCTTCGTTTTGATATAAAGTTTGTACACTTTTGTGGAGTTTGGAGGTTGATCGGAGCCGGGATTTTTTCGACCTTCTCTTACACAACAACCGGCCAACCCACGATCAAATCGGGTCAACCCGACCCGCAACCCAAAGCCAGATCCAAACCTGATCCGCAAACCAACCCAAAACGGAATCCGACCGACCTATTTCTGAATCCGACTAGCATATTCTCTGGAATAATCCGTTTACTTCCAATTAACTTTAATCAAATATCTTGTATAATGATGGAATATTTCGTTAAAGTTGACTGTTGATCCTTAATTGGCTTTTGTTGACCTTTTCCAAATTTCTCCTGGGACCCATCTTAGGCTATTTCAACACCTTGATTCCAAATCCGCATTCTATTTTTCCAAATTCAAACGTTTTAATTGAGTTTTACTAATGGGTCACAATATTATGCTTAGGTATGATTAACATCGGCGATTCATATTTACTAGTTCGAACGGCTGCGACAATGCAATTAACTATGAGAGTCTTTTCTTTTACGATATATATATATATATATATATATATAGTTTCCATATATATTTAATAATGCATTTTCTACGTGATGCCATAATAAAATTAACGGTAACTCTCAGTTTATTACCCTCAAGTTTCATGGTTTTCAACATTTAGTACATGAAGTTTTTTTCATCCCAAAATCATACCTAAAGTGTTAATTTTGGAACAGCCTCATACGTCCGTTAGTCTGACAGTTAAGTCTCCCGTTAACTGATGATGTGGCGCCTATGTGGACAATGATTGGGCATCACATGTCATTAAGGGGTTCACATGGAAATGAAAATTTAAAAAATAAAAATAAAAAAAATAAATAAAAACAAAAAACAAAAACCACCCGTCTTCTACCTCCCCCCCCCTCCCCAACCCCCTCCATCCCTTCTTTCCTCTGCAACCTGTACCCCTCGCCCTCCCGGCACCTTCTCCCTCCCTTATCTCTTCTGCAACCTAGAGAGGGAACAAAACCCAAAGAATCCATCTTCCGAAACACTTCTAATCCTTCTCTAAACAAACCCTTTCTCGAATAAAATCCAAGAACAAAACTCAACATGGTTTTTTTTTTTTTAATTTCCACGTGGACCCTTAATGACACGTGGCACCCAGTCATTATCCACATGAGTGCCACATCATCAGTTAACAGGAAACTTAATTGTCAGACTAACAGATGTATAAGGCTGTCCCAAAATTAATATTTTAGGTATGACTCTAGGACGAAAAAAAACTTCATGTACCAAATGTTGAAACCCATAAAACTTGAGGGTAGTAAACTGAGATTTATCCTAAAATTAACGTTATCAGAAATGTAGTAATATTGAGAGTTATGAAATTATTATAAATCCTATTGGATGCACATGTATGCGTACTATTATAGGATGCCTTAATTATATTTACAGTCATGACTAGTATTATATTGACTAGAATTATCGAATTATTGTGGTTTGATCATACTTATGTTATTGCTCATCATGCGTACTATCTTATTATACTAACTTTAATTTACCACATGACGTGACAACTTAGGTGTAAAACTGAAGTGTATTTTGTCTTTTCTTTTATTAAATTTTCTTTTCCTTTTCTGTCTAAAAAAATTTAACCTTTCACCTTCCTTAATGCCTACCACCATCCATCCACCTGAGCTGGCATTTAGGTCATCTCCAACCGAAAGGAAATATGGTTTAGCTCCTCACTAATTTATTATTTTTAAGTTTGTTCTTTAACTTATTGGTTAACTGAATTGAATTAACATATTAAAATAAGGTTATACAGACATGTTTTGAGTACCACTTGTTGCTAAATGAATAAGCCTCCAGACTTCTTATCTTTATATAATCTCAATAATTCTTCGAATAGGATTTCGAGTGACATGTGTCACTAAATGAGTAACTCTCCATATTTCATATCTTTATGCAATCTTAATAATTTTTCGGATAGGATTTTCGAGTGGCACGTGTCGAGATGTAATTGGTTATGCAAATTTCAGATATGATTCTTATTTATATGGCACTTCTTATCTTCAGCTTCCAATGTTAATAAATTGACTGGATATTAGGCAGAATTCACACCTTCATCTTTGCCATCTCCAATGTCTCTTGTCATTGTCTAAAATGACATAAGATAGTATGAAAGAGTGAAAATGATGTAAGAAATGGAGAAATTAGAATTCTTTTTTTATTATTTCATCCTAAAAAAAATATAATAAAAAAATCAACGGCTAAATGACGTCAGCTAGCCGTTCCTGCTGATGTTAGCTAGCCGTTGGCTGGGCTTCATAATCAGGCTGTTGGGCGGGCTCAACATACCTAGCTCGATAGCTTTTTGGCTATCCTTTGGCCTGGTGGGTCTCATTTTTTTTTCGCCCAGCCCCTCATTGGAGTTGGGTTTTGTGGCATTTTAGGCTAAAACTTGGCTTGTGGCCTTATAGCCATCTCCATTGGAGATGGCCTTAGAGGCCAAACAAATGACAAATCTAAAGAAACTCTAATGCTATGATACACTCTAAAAAATGCGACTCTTCATGGACTGTATGGCACCTCATAGTGAATATTAACTCTCGTGCTAACATTATAAAACATTGTGCAAACACATGAGGTAGCAGAGAGTTTATGGACATGAAGAGTCTCACTTTTAAGAAAGTACTCTAAGCATTTCTCTATCAGGAATATAACATGGCATGACTTCTTAACTGAGCGATTACGGCCCAATAAAGGACTCGTCTCAGCTTTTGGGCTTTAGAGTATGAAAACAAGGTTGTTTGTAATTTCAAAGTTCAAAAATCTTCTATACCGGGCTCGGCTGGCACAATTATATTCATGAAAGTATAAGTGCGCTGAAGTAGTACCAGACTGTATGGACACAAATACTCGAAAGAAATAAGTGTCTTGATCGTAAAGGTGGTTCGGCCATCACAATGCTGAACTCTAAATTATGCAGGGCAAATTTGTGTGTTAATTTGAAAAGAGCTTTGAATGTTGCAGACCCTGTTCTATTTATATGAGTGATTTTCCGCGGATCACGCCAAAGTAAAGTCCCATCTGGATTGTACTTTATCAGCACCAAATCGTTCTGATCCCTACGTAAAGCTCGGCCAATCCTACCATACTTAGGACTTTGAACCCAGTTCATTTAATGTATTTAATTCATTCCTGACCTTGATCAGCTTCTAACCTAGATTCTTGGAATATTTCAAATCCTAATAAAGCACATCCCAATCTCGAAGACTTTTACTTGATTCAGGACTCGGCCGAATCCAATCATGAGTCTCAAGGAATCTAACATTGACAAGAATTCGACTTAGGAGCTGTGATTACTTGCGGCGCACACTAATTCCTAGGTTGTAGAAACTCCAAGACTTATAAGATTTGATTGTGTCCATATCCGGATTAGATCGCACATCTTCAAAACAATAATGGTTATCCATCGAAGTCGCTAGAACTCCGCCTAATGCCCTAGAGTAAAGTGATGGTGGCACGGCTGCTCACTCTTTGGTCCATCAGACATCTCATAACCTTAACGACATCTTCCATATGTTCCAACCAAAGTTCAGCTTTTTCTCCAGCTCCACGACCATCGAAAGAGTAGGCACCAGGACTCACGGTAATTTCTGCCTGAGTGCAACCACCATTCGCATCAAGAATCAGTTAGGCTAATGCCTCAATTAACTAGTGTAATCGCGGAATAGAAGTACGTTCACCTAGGTGGCATAATTTTGTTAAGTAGACATTAAATAATTAACACAATTACTCGCATCATAGTATTCGAGGATAGAGCTCGAGGCTGTCAACTTTAATTATGGAACACCTTACGGTGCTGCGATGCAACATGCAAGACCATATACGTGTTCCTTAAGCCTTAGGGATGTCTAATATGTGATTTTGGGGTTTCATTTGTGAAGGGATTAAGGTGAGAGCAAGGGTGATGCTGTCGGAGCTTAGAGAAAGAATGACAGAATTCGAGAGTTAGAGAGAGTGAGGTTTGCAGAAATGAGGAATGAGAGAGATGGACTGTCATATAATCACACTTAAAATAATTTTAAGTAAATTACGGTTTTGCCCCCTCCACTTGTTTTAAATTATAAATAAGCCCTCGAGGCCTCGATTCGTAATTCATTTTCGACATTAAATTAATGTACCAAAGAAATTTTACGAAACTTAAGAAAGTACGAGAATTTATAACTCGAGTCAGGCTCAAAATTGATTAAGACACCCATTCAGGGGCAAAATGGTCATTTCACATGTCTTGTGAATAATATACAATATCTTAAGGAATGTGTTACAACACAGACTTGGGGGGGGATTAAAATACAGCTTTAGTTATGCGACGCATAAGAAAATAAATAGAAATTGAAATACTGTGAATACATGAGGATTTCTTTAACATGGTAAACCTCCACACACAATGGAGAAAAACCACGGGCACATTGTCATAAAATAATTCACTAAGGTCAACAACAAATACAAGACTCATACAAGACACAACTTACAAACTCAAAATATTGCCTTGTTCTCTTGTCTTCATCTCCTCTTGGTTGAAACGAGATCACCTGAGTGCACGAAGGTTTGCGCCGCGGGCTAGAATGAATTATAAATGATGATAGAAAAAACCTACTGGAAAATCAGAAGTAAATAATGGACATGAGAAAATCAATAACCTACAATGAAGTAAATTGATATTATGCTTTAACCCTAAAATTAATTTGATTATATCATAAATTAATTTTATTTGATCATGTTAGCACCCCACTTCAACCTTTACCCAAATGCAAGAGATATTAACAAGAACACTAATGCAATCAAATATTTATTCACACTTTGCACCTGCATATATCTCAGCGTGTATACCTGGTTGCAGGCTAAGGATCTCCAACTCAACAATTGAGTCACCTGGGCTAACTAAGTGATGCCACCTGGCATCCTAACATTACCCTTCCCTTAGAAATCAGCCTTGTCCTCAATGTTTAACTATGAAAATTCAAGTAGCATTCTTTTGATTATGATTTGGCAATGGATCCAACTACTATAGGTTGATCTTGAGACAATGAGCAACATAAGCTACTTAGTATATAGCAGCAGTATTCCTATCAATTTGCTATAGCAATATGCTTCCAGAAGAAAGACGAAGACTGATATATTTTTCCTTTGTCAATGAGCAACAACATATGTACTGAACTAATGAGACCATAAAGGTGTGCTTGCACCAAGAGCTCACTGCCGAAAACATTAACTCCATACAAAAAAATGAGCAATGGTATCGACCATCCAATC